TAAGACTGAATACTCGATGGCCTAAATTTTTCCCAATCTCCAGTTTAAGGAACAGAGCTGGACCGAAATTGTCCCCAGTGAGGTGCCATCAGCCCCTGATTCCCGCTTGACCAACCGATATAAATATTCGACCCGGTTGGTAATTTCACGCCACCTTCAACTCAAGAACGTCGGCCGTCTCACTGCACGCCCCTCCAAGTGACCTTAAATTGAGCATACATCCCCGATGTGTTGCTAGGGCAATTTATTATTTGAAAACCAGTTGGTGTGAGAGAGAGAGAGCGGGGTAGGAGCGTACATGCGCTTTGTATAAGTGTGACAGCAATGGTCAGTAGGCTGCAGGTGTGAATCCGCAAACTGCCGTCAACAACGCGACAAGATATGATTGTGTATAGATAGATGTTCGGAACATTCAACTCTTCGAGTCTGCATAGTCCCCATCGGGTCACGCCAGGCATATGTTCCTTTAATTGATTTTATGTGTGTGTGAACCGGGATGTTGCGGCTAAGTGGACAGCGATTTATTCTCCAAAGAGTGGGATATCCTGAGTGATCCACCCGATAAATTTGTCACCATATTGAACANGCCTATCGATGTCGATCTCACACCAACCAAATTTCGTTCTCGCGAGTGACGACACGGTCACGCCAACACCCACCTCCCCTCCCCCACACATAATAACAGCTCGACTTCGACTGGAAAGTCCCACCATCCATTTCGAAATTGATACTGCTTAAAACCTATTCCGCGATATACGACGTTATAGGGAAATAACTTAATATTACTTTGACCGCATTTTTTGTGATCTGCAGATCGAGTGAAGCACAGCGATTGGCTAGCCACAAGCGGCAATTCCTGGCTCAGCCACTGTAGAAAGATTGTTTTTCTGTAATAAACAANGGCAAGCTTTCTGCAATTTGACTTACCTTGTTATGGTGACGTGCGATTGATTGTATATCAGACGGATCAACAGAAACAACAGAATACAACGTAGAACGGCACGAATAGCCTTCGTCACATATACCTCATTTGCAACATCGAGGTAATTATTTGGGACAGTAGCCCTTTCGGAACCAGTCAATAATTCTAAGTTTTGCAGGTGGGTTATATGCTAATAACCGTGACAAAATGTTACTTGGGAGTCTTTATGAAATATTTTACGATAAACAGATTTATTAAAGGAAACCATGACCATAAATGACGGGGACGACGTAATACATTCGCCCGATCAAATGTCAGTCACGCAGACTACCGAATTTCACCTCCATCCAACGATTCCGTTCCCGAAGGTATTGATTCCTTGCAACCATACAGGAAACCGTATTTAGTACATAGTTATGAACTTATTCCAAGTACTTTCTTCTGTTTGACTTTGAAATGATCCAAGCATCGCGCTCAGTATCGTGTACTTTTGTGGTTCATTCCATTTAAGCCAATCGTTACTCTGCCAGTCGGTCAATTACATATCCAAATTTGTACGATAGCACGTTTATAATTCGATCAGCTTGGAACGCACACACCATACAGCCCCACTCAATTTGATGTTTGATACCGTGGCACGCAGACATTGTGTTGGGCCGCCTACACAAATTAATATATGGTTTCTTACCCTGCACTTTACCTTCAACACGAAGCTGCTCAATTTACCGTTATAGGTGTTATACTACAAAGGTTAGGTGGCGGTGGCGTGACTCGAACATGAGACAATGGTGTCCGGAACATGCTGGTGAGAGCGACTAAATCATACTTTATCCTAAACACTAAGCTGCTCATTTGACCGGAATTTGAGTGATGTAGCATTACGTAGAAAAAAATAGTCAAATTAAAAGTAAAAATAATAAATGACAGTTCCTTTTTCAAATCAAATCGGAACCCCGTCGACTGCACCAGATTCGCAACTGACACACTCGCTCAGTGCTGTCCGCCCAGATTTGCCCATGGATTTCAATGAGGGAACAATTGGTTGGTAGCAATTTTCTGAAAAGATACTGTACAAATTATGACAGAAATGCCCCTGGTGAGAAAAAAAATCACAATCAATAGAAGCTAAACTGTCGAACGGGGGTAGGGGAGTAAATGAACAGTCGATAGAGTTGTCGGGGCGGGGATGGGAGGCTAGATCAGAATGCGGGAAGTGAACCACACATTTCGGAACGTGAGTTCAAATAATTTGACTATCGGGAGGATCACGTGGAGGTCACCTCGAGACGGTCAGAAGAAGAGACCAGATTAAGTGTAGCGAAAATGAGACTTGCGACTGATTTTGGGGTGGGAGGGGGGTGGAGGGCTGGTTCTCTTGAGAAAAAACAAAAAACAATATTTGTACATTCACAGCCTGGAAAAATGCCGGTATATACGGGCATAATTAATAAAGATTGTCTCTTCGTGTGTTATCGGGATGATGGTTTATGTGCAAAATAAACGGAAGCATGAGAAGTTGGGGTGGAGGGGCGGTATCAGCTCCGTTGAGGCTCGGTCGTGATCGATCGAACTGTCAGTAGAAGAATCAAACATTTGCTGAAGTGTTGAGTGAGTTCCATCAAGGAGAGTCGAGCACATTGCATTCCGTTGACTTGAATCAATTCGTCTCCGACGTGCAATTCTTTCAGGCCCGGACTGGTGTCCATTTGACTGTCAGATACTCGGGTAACACGAAAACCTGTAATGCACAAGATAGAAAAATCATAGGGGTTGAATTGTCCGGCTGGCAAATACGGTTTTCTTTTAAATTGAACTATTTGTGAGGAACTTCATCGCATACAGAAAATAGCCAGATCAGTATCAACTGAGTAATATAGTTGTATTGTATGTATTTTTTGGGCCCGGGCTCATTTCCGAATTGGATCGACGGATTTGCGCACTTCCGCCTTCTAAAAAGGAACAAGGTCGAAACAATTGTCTGGTGCTTCCAGGCCTAATCAGTTCACGCTTCCCTGGATGCAACGAACATCGCCATGTCACGCAGTTCAGTTTGAACAGTTCTACAGACCACATGATGAGAACACGAACGTGGCAAATAAGCCAGTATTCAGTGCGTCTTATATAGCAATTGAAGCGTGAACTGAGCAGTTACATAAAGGGGTTTACGAAAAAAAGGAACGCAATCAAAAAATGTTCAACAGTTGATAACAGTTTGTATTCGCTTTTTGGTCGTGGGTGACCTGAATCACAACCCGTTTCCGACTCTCTATACAAACCTTAGCCATGCAGTTGTAAGCGAGTCAGTTCACATAGTATCGGAATCTTTTGCACTAAAACGAATTTCGACACCATTTTTGATCCGAACAACAGCGCATCCGGCGATGACTTGTCTTACAGACAAACATTACACGGTCAGCTTTTATGGTAAATTTTTTTTTCCAACAATTCTCAAACTCAGATCATTCAGATACCTTTTCATCTGGACTCACTTACAGCGGTGTGCAGAGTAAGAGGTTGTTGACAGCCGAGGCTAAAAGGTTACAACTGACAGATTGCAGACTTGAACCAAAACTTGATCGGGGAAAGTTATGAATTATGCAGTTCAAAGGTGATGTAAAAAAGGTATAAATTTTATCCGGAATTAGTTGAGTTGAGAGTCATTTTGCTAGATGCTATGTCACATTTCTGCATCTACCTAACCGATCCGCCAATGTTGTGCTTCACATGTCAATTTGTGTTGCAGACCGATTACCTCTCTCTCTCTCCGGACATTCTTTGTATCTTACAACTACAATAAAATCGAGCAGCTCAGCTTTGCCTTTTTAATCTAGTCTGATGGGAAACCCTTATCCGATATCAAGCCAAAAGTCGATCAAATTCAAACCCATGATCGGAAATTTTCCGCATCTCGTGAGTCATAATCCACAGCATACCCGCCCTGGTGGTATCGTTCGACAATTTCACCGTTTATCCTGCATCAGTGTACAGTTGTTACCATTCTGCCCTGCCCCGCTCCACAAGTCAAATATCAGAAACGTGGGCTAGTAGCTCAGTGTGCGCTGTGTGTAACGTGCGTAGGCGGCGTCCATGCGTGGGTTCGAATCCCACTGAGGCTACTTAACTTTTCATAATCTCGAAATAAAAAAATCGGACTCACCTAGTTCGGACCTTATTACAAAAATCCCAAAGGGATCGTGCAAACTGTTCCGTTTCAGTTCCACCAATCGAGTTGCCTGTTTTATGGGATAACTCGGGCAGCTGGGGATGATCACAGAACGGTCCAGTGAACTCTCCTGGGATGATGAAAGTTCGTTGGAGGGTCTATC